GGTTGAGGATTCTACCAAGAACCTGTAGCCATATATACTTCGCTCAACTAAGCCATAAATAATTTAGCCTCTTCTGCCCACGATGTAATAAAAGTGCTGCCGCTGAACTGCATGACTTGGGTGCTACCATTGACAATTGATTCTCCAATTACTTTGAAGAAGAGGAGCCTGAGCTGGATCTGCTCCTCCGAGGAACAGGCGCACTGCCTGAAGCTGTGTTTTGATTCTTTACACGACTGAGCTCAACCTGGAGTGTCTCCAGCTGCTGCTGGAGGTGCTTGATCTTGATAGTTTGGAGACCACACTTGAGCTCATGAAGTCTGAGATTGGAAGGGGATGAATCCTTGGAAGGGCTGCATCACTGCGCCCAACCGTTGCACGCTTATTAGCGTGCTCTGAAAAAGTCGAACGAAGACGGTCGACATGTTTTGCACTGACAGAAGGTGAATCGGAATCGTTACCACTGTCCAATGCATCGGGAAGTTCATCTTCCTTCTTAGAGATCTGAACCTTGACCTTAGGCTCGACGTTGAATGTATCGCACACTGCCAAATAAGATGCGTTCCTTTCCCCCTGTACTTGTCCAAGAACATGTCCAACTGCCCCAGCATTTGAGGCTCGTTCTGTTGGAAGACATCTAAGATCAACAACTTGCACGGATGCCTGACTTTGAAATCCTGGCCATGCTCACTGTCGGGTTATACCTGACCAGTGGCCTTGACTTTGGAATCAGACTTCACTGCCTCCAGAGGCGGCGGTGATGAATGCGCCTGCTCACTGTCGGCTTCTACCTGAACAGTGGGCTCATCGTTGGGCTGAGTCTTCTCACTGCCAGATGCTACCTGAGCAGTGGGCTTTTCTTTAAGCCCAAACTTCACTGCTACTGGTGGTGGCGGAAGAGGCGGAACTGGCTGGGAACTCCTCCCATGCCAAGGGAGACCGCACTTACATAAAGGTTGAGCAGCAATTGTGTTTGACCAAATCCAACAGTCTGGTCTGCCACGCGGGCAAAGCAACTTAGTATGCGTGACAACTGGAATCCCTACTCCTTCTTTGAGAACCCAGGGCGTCCTGGACGACATGGCGGCAAAAGCGGCGCAGGAGGAGGAGGAGGTGGAGGAGGTGGAGGAGGAGGAGGAGGACAAAGAGAAACACAAGGAGGAGGAGGAGGAGGACGACGACGAGGGGGAGGAGGCGGAGGAGGACTTCCCCCACGCAGCACACGCACCACGTTCCATCGTCCACACTCCTTGACAGGGCGCGCCGCCAGGCGGGCTTACGCCCAGTTGGAGGGTGGGAGGAGGGAGCAGCAGCGGGGCACGAGAGAGAGAGAGGGAGAGATTGGGGACTGGCCGCCGATCCACCGGCGGCGGATCCGCAGCAGGCGGGGTGCCTCGCGCGGGGGGGCGCGGCCGCCGCACCGCCCGCCAACGGCAGCGGCGGGAGGCCACGATCGGAGGCGGGGGGCGCACGCGACGCAGGGGGAAGACAGAGCCCATAATCCGCAAGGACTGGCGCTTGCGCTCGCCTCCCCCGCCTGCGTCAGGGGCGGGAGGCCCGCGCAGGCGGCCCCGCTGCAGCACGGACCCCCCCCTCAGGGACGCACGCAAGGCACCTCATCGACAGGCACGGGGCGGGTGCGGCGGCGGGGCTAAGGGGGGGGGCGGCCGCACTCGCTCGTGCCCGCCGCCCGCTACGCTGCCCTGACCACCCCACCCACAGGCAAGAAGGGCCAGACCCAATGCCACACCACGGCAGGCAGCGGCAGCGGCACCGCGGAGCAGCAGCACGAGGACACGCAGGAGAGGGCGCACGGCAGCAGCACCAAGGGCGACAACAGCAGCAGCAGGGGGGCAGCACAAGGGACACAAGAGCGAAAACAAAAACGAGGCCCCACAGCGCACCGCCCCGCAGGCGAGGGAGGCAGCGGCAGGGGCGGGGAAAGAGAAGGACATACACAGACCATGATCGATGTTACCATGAAACTTCACGTCGCCGAGCTCAATACACCTGGGGACCAACTCAAACTAGAAAAGCACAGCGACACAAGGAGTAAGACATAACGCGGTCCACCAGGCCCGCAGGGCCAGAGCCGAGGCACCGACGCAAGGACCTGCAGGCGAGGCATGGAACAGGACCCAGGACACAGCGGAAGGGCCGAATCGAGGCATCAGGAGAACGAGCGCCGCCGAGGGCCTGGAGGCGCGACACCTCCCCACGCAGCTCACAACACATCACTCTCCAGGAGCACGCAGTGGCCACGGCCTGTTAGGCGCACTACTTCCAAGGCGAGAAGGGTACCAACCGTCCAGGAAAACAGCCGGATTCGAGAAGGGTGCAAAGCGGGACCAGTGCCAACAAAAAACGATGGAGGAACCAAGAGCCTGAAAACCCAAGGCCGGGATGGCTTGCGAACAGCGGCGACCTTATCATACCGCTGGGCAAGAATCCTCGGCCGTGCGTGAGATACTTGATGCGAGGGAATACCATGCCTGGGCGGTGGTGGGCATGGTCTTCACGATGGCATCAAGAACAGCACCAGCAGCGACATTACGATGAAGCCCCCACGAAGGGCCCGGAAGAGCGAGAATTAAAAACCAAGACTCCTCGTCGAGCAGCAGAAGCTCCCTCCACCGTCCTGACGGGTTCTGAACGTCTGGGATCCAAGGGAGGGTTAGAGATTTGAAAACATGGCAACGCTTGTAATGGTTTAGGTCGTCAGGTCCCACAGCGGAAACGACCCCCTCGGTCCACACTATGAAACCTGGAAGAGGTGCATACCCCCTAGATAGAATCCTGAGAACGCGAGTGGGAGGTTGGGCACAACCAGCCCTGAGGAGGAGGAGGAGGAGGAGGAGGAGGAGGAGGAGGACAATGGAGAGGATGAAGAAGACGAGGACAAGGAGGAGGAGGAGGAGGAGGAGGAGGAGGAGGGGGAGGAAGACAGGGAGGGAGAGGAGCAAGAGGAGGAGGAGGAGGAGGAGGAGGAGGAGGAGGAGGAGGACACGTGTAAACCCAAGACTCAGCAGCGATGTTGGAATACACCCCTCCTCCAAGCTCCCTCGTCATAAGTCTCTACATAAGGTCACTTCCACTGAAGGAATTGCCCCGCTGGGGCACAACCGTGAGAAAAAACCTCGAGCGCGTCAAAACACCATTCTCAAGACTTCAACGCCTCATTCACCATTCCTGGGGCTTCAATGTCAAGAATCAACGCAACTGATGCGCCTTAAGAATCTGGAATCGCTCCAGGACACCACTTCTGAACTGTAACCCTAAGAACCCGTAAAAAATGTTGAAAATCAATGTGCGCGGCGCTGAATCGAAAAACACATGTCGACAAAGAAACCGCCCTCACTACGCGAAACTCTTGCAAATTGTTACAACGAATGCGCGCGGCGCCAAGGCGAGAACCACATGTTGAAAACCAACCGCCCTCATTCCGTGAAACTCTTGCAACTATTGAAAACCACATTTTGAAAACCACCCGCCCTTCATGTGTGAAAATGCTGCCGGTTTCTCATCTCAGGCAAAAAATGGTAAGGAAGTCTCAGGTTCCGACTGGCCTCGGGGTGCGACAGGGAGGAGTTATGCAGATGCTGCATAAGGAAAAGAACAAGAGGAGAACAGGGAGGAGGAGGAGGAGGAGGAGGAGGAGGAGGAGGAGGAGGCGAGGAGGAGGACGACAGGGAGGAGGAGGACGACGGAGGAGGAGGAGGAGGAGGAGGAGGAGGAGGAGAGGAGGAGGAGGAGGAGGAGGACGACAGGGAGGAGGAGGAGGAGGAGGAGGAGGAGGAGGAGGAGGAGAAGGAGGAGAAGGAGGACCCCCGGGAGGCGGCCCGCCCGTGGGCCGCCGCTCCTGGGAGCCGCTGAGGTACACGAGCCGGTCGTTGGTGCTCTCGTCCTCGGCCGAGCCGTGGGGGCGGGCAGAGGGGGGGGGGAGGGGGAGGGCGGGGGGGGGCAGAGGGAGGGAGGGGGAGGAGGAAGGGGGCAGAGGGGGAGAGAGGGAGGGGGGAGGGGGGGAGAGGGGGGGGAGGGAGGGGGGGACGGGGCAGAGGGAGGGAGGGAGGGGGCATTCGGAGCACTGGCGCAGCACAGCGTGGGGGGAAGGAGAGGAGGAGGAGGAGGAGGAGGAGGAGGAGGAGGAGGAGGAGGAGGAGGAGGAGGAGGGTAGGGAGAGAGGGGTGGCAGAGAGGGGGGCGGAGAGAGGGCAGAGAAAGAGGGAGAGAGAGAAAGAGAGAGAAAGAGAGAGAGAGAGAGCAAAAAACAAGACCCACGCTGGGGATACATCCAGGTGTGTCCGCCGGCTTGGAGGCGGGCACCCGAGGATCTCACTGGGCGCTGAATCGGCACCTGCCCGCACCCCCGGTGGCCAAGGCACATCCACAATGCAATACCTCGCGAGATCAACGGGAACACGTCTCCAAATCAGTGGGATCAACAGCACGAGCGTCAGCAAAGTCAATGTCAAGCTGGTCGGGCTACCTCCTCAGCGTGTTACCGGTAAAGTACCCAGCTCTTGCACAGAAACCCATTGGTTAGCACGCACAAGTTGAAAGACAGTGCGCGTGTCCCTGATACTGCCCAAGACCACCCGCCCCAAAAGGGACCTACAAGAAGCACTTGAAAAAATCCAAAGAGACTTCGAGAGGAATCCAAGGAGGCCTCTTGCCTGTCTGCTCGCCCTCCTCCTCATCATCTACCTGTTCTTCCTCCTTCCTCCTCCTCCTCCTCCCTCATCTCTTTATCCTCCTCCTCCTCCTCTTCCTGCTCCTCTTCCTCCTGCTCCTCCTCCTCCTCTTGCTTCTCCTCCGATTCCTCCTCTATCCTCCCCCTCTTGGGATACGACGTCTTACCCAGACCTTTTTTCCATTGCATGCTCCTCCACATCCCTGATCAGGGCAACTAGTCTGGGCATCGTTTCTGGATGGGCTGTTGGTGTTACGCGAAGCGTCCAGAATTGGAATAAGGTCGGGAGAAACAAGATGCTCGTGTGAGGACTAGAGCGGTCGTACGAGTCAGCGTTCCGGAGTCCACCAAACCAGGAGACAATCGGAGTTCAACGCATCTGCCTGCAATGTGAGGGCCATCCATCCTAGCGCCTGAGAAACATGGCGAAACCAATATTTTGTCAGAATCCACCCTGTCAGTCTCTTCAAAGGACGGAGAGACAAGGCTGGCAGCTGCACGCAGGGGATCCAGGGCAGCCCGGCGGGCTGGCAGAAGCGGCAACCCAGCGTGCCAGGTGGCCACTTCTCTTTTCTTTCGGTTGTCTCCCGAAGCTCGGACAATCCACTCTGCCGCGTCCCTCGGCCAAGCGGCACGTGTGGCGCGCTGCGAAGGTGCCGACGGGGAAGCGATAGGGAGGGACTGGCACAGGGGGGGAGAACATCGACATGGAATCGGCGATACATCGCCGACAGGTCGGCGATGTGCCACCGACAGCGAAACCGCACATTCCTGGGCGGGGCGGGCTATCAGGCCCCTGTAGGCAATGAATGGGCGATCGGGGGTCGATGCATCTCCCCCTGAATCTACTCCCCCCTACGGTCGGGAACTTTGCTCAGCGTGTCGCGGCGGCGGCCCTGGCGACGTGCGCGGCGGCCCGTGCAAGTGGATACCGTGTCGCCCCGCCCCGCGGGGCGGGAGGTCAGGAAAAGCTCGGGACGCTGACGCCCCCGGAAATGGGGGCGCGGATAGCGTGTCGCGCCGAAGCCTGCTGGGCCATTGCCGGCGGAGCGACACGCCATCCCAGAACTCCCGACCGCGGCGCTGCCCTCGACGCGCTGGTGGCGTGCGCCGCGCGCCCGCGGCGGTGCTGTGCCAGGGCTCTCCTCGGGGCGCACTGGTCGCAGCCCCGAGGTCGGCCGGCGGGCGGCGGGGGCAAACGAAGCTCGGTCCTCAAAGACGCGAGCAGGACAAAGACGCAGACTGGGACGCTTGGGCCCCGAGGGCAGCACGGCGGGCCCCGACATGCTAGCAGGCATGGGCCCCGAATTCCTAGAAACGGCAGGCCGACGCGGACCCTCGGCCCGCGTCGGGGATGGAGGAGGGCCCTCATTAACGAAGGGGCCCCTGCTGGAATGATGTCCTCTTCCTGCTCGTCCTCTGATGCTGCTCCCGCTCAGGCCTTGAACAGTGACTCGCGGCTTATGATGTGAGTGGAGCGATTGAAGTTGGGCAGGTTGGGGAAGACCGCTTCGAGCTCCTCCACGCCCATCCACTCCGCGATCGGCACCATGACGCTCTCCCACGGATGCTGCGGGATCACGCGGCCGCGGCCGGCATCGTACTCAGACTCTGGCATGTACGTTTGCAGGAACTTGTTAAAAATCTGGCCCCCGTGGATACCGCCGCCGATGACGATATGATTTCCACCCCAGCCGTGGTCCGTCCCGGCGCCGTTGGAGGTCAGCGTGCGACCGAAGTCCGAGTGCGTCACGATGACCACGTCGTCGAAGACACCCTGCTGGGTGAGCTCCCCGACGAAGTCTTTGAGCGCCCCGTCGATCTCCGCGAAGTTCTCCGAGAGCCTGTCAGTCTGGCCGGAATGCGTGTCGAAGCCTGCGAGCTGAACGAAGAACAAGTCCCGCTCCGCGAGCCGGAGGCTCCGCCCCTTGATCAAGCGGGCCACCTGCTGCAGCTGCTTAGCGAGGCCCGTGCCCGTCGCGTAGGTGGCCGCCGTCTCGAGCGTCACGTCATCGAGGATGGCACCCAGCGCCTCGCTGCTGCGGACGTGGTCCGCGAACGCTCGCGTGTACTCCTCGCAATACACACTGTCGTACTTCTGCCTGGCGATGCCGCTGATTGTGGAGCTCCAGACCTTGTACCTGTTGAAGCGGATGGCGCCGCCAGTCTTATCGATGATGTCGGTGCTGGTGTTGTAGCCTCCAGACCAGGTAGACGTGCCCGAGATCGAGAAGGACGCGACCGCCTTGCCGTGCGAGGCGGCGAGCGCGTCCGCCATCCTCCCCCCCGCACCCCTCGGCGCCGCGCCGGGGACCTGACACTTGAGCGTGTGTGCCGCAGACTGCAGGTGCGAGTGGGAGAAGAGGCCCAGGCAGGTCTTGGCACCGCCGCCCCTGAAAGTGTCCCTCGTCACGGGCTCCACGAGGGCCCCGACGCTGCTGACGAAGGCCGCCTGCCTCTTCTCCTCGTACAGCTCCCGGAGGAACGGCAGCGATGGGTGGATGCCGAACTGGCCGCACGGCTGCGCGCTCGAGGCGGTCACGGGCAAGAGGCTGCCCTGCGCGATGGCCATGCTCGTGCGCGCGGCCGCGTACTCCTCGTAGAGGCCGCACCCGATGGGGACGATCAGGTTGTACGTGTCGGCGCCGCCGTGCAGGAACAGCATCACCACCGCCCGGTACGAGCCGCCTGGGCTGGGAGGCGGAGCCGCCTCCTCCACGGGGCGCTGCCCGCTGTGCTGCGGCGCCCCGAGGGTCTGAAACTCGGGCGTGAGCACCACGGCCTGCTGCGCCCCCCCCAGGCCGTGCTCCTGGGAGCATCGTTGAGCCGATCAGTACCCCCACTGGCGTGGCCTGGGCCCCGCTGGCCGACTTGCCCCCCCCTGCACGGGGATGTGGGCTGTTCCCCTCGGGACTTCGAGGGTCGCAGGTCCCCCGACTGGGGTGGCGGGATGGTCGGGATCGGGGTGGGGAGGGGCATGGAGATCGGTTCAACGATACTGATCCTCGTACGCCGCCCGGACCAGCTCCCTTGTGGCCGGCGACAGGCGCCCGCCGGTGAGCAGGATGTCCAGCTCCTGCACGACGCCCTCCGCGTCGGGCGCGGCGGCGGCGAAGTGGAGGCTGCCCTGGTGGCACTCCATGCCGCCGCCGGCGCTGCCGAGGCCGTGGTCGCATTTGCTGACGCCGTGTTCCAGCAGGGAGGCCACGCCGTTGAGGAACCCCATGGCGAAGGGCGGGGTGAAGATCTGGAACTCCGGAGCCACCAGCGGCTCGGGCTCCGGCTCCGGCTCGGGCTCGGGGTCCGACCCCGGCTGGGCCGCGGTCGTTGAATCGAGCTCCTGCTCGAGATCAGCCGCCATGCCAGCGAAGCGGGGCGGCTGGTACATCGCGTCGTAGAAGTTGAAGACGGTCGGGGATCTGTAGGGGAACTGCCCGATAATCGCGTCCAGGTTCCGGAAGACAACCTCCTCGTCGGCCATGTCCACGTACTCCATGGACCGCATGATATGCACCAGCTTCAGCATCGGCTCGCGGAGCAGACCAGCCGCGCTCGAGTTCGAGGACCGCGCCTCTGGGTGGAGCAGGATGGCGCCGATCGTGGCGCCGAGGTCGCCGTAGCTGCCAGAGTACGCCACGCCATCATGGTAGCCCGTGGTGAAGGCGCGCACCACCGACTCCAAGTACGCCGGCGACGGGTTAGAGGTGACGAAGCGCTGGATCAGCTTCCTGCTGATGAACACGGGAGTATTTGGATGGCGAAACAGGTGGTCCAGCAGGCTGTCGATCTCCGCCCTCACCGCCCGCTCCAGCGGCCGGCCGACCTCCCTCAGCGGCCCCGGGGCAACGAAGACTGGCGGGTTGCGGAAGGAGGCCGACCCCACGCGCACGACGCTCTGCTCGTTCTTGTAGAAACGCCCGCCGACCTCGAAGACGGTATCCACGTCTGGGGGGGACGGCCCCCAGACCTGTGGGCGGGGGGGCGAGCAAAGATAAGGTGGGGACTGGCTCGCAGAGGGGGGACATCGACCTGGACTCGGCGATACATCACCGATTCATCGCCGATGGGCCCCCGATGGCGAATCCGAACGCTCCTGGGCGGAGTGTGCCCATCGGGCCCCTATCGGCGCTCAATGGGCGATTGGGGCATCGCTGCCTGAGCCGCTCCACTCCAACGTTGCCCCCTGGCTTTCGGGCCATGGCTCGGCTCTCCCGCGGCCGGTCGGGGCGATACGAACACCCCCGGAAAGCTCTCGGCGAAGCGCACAGCCACCAGGAGGCGCCCCGAGGCTGGACGCCGCCGAGAACCGCCGAGAACGCCCGAAGACCTCGAGCCTCGACTTCCAATCGAGGTCGATGCGCTCCCCTCGGAGCACATGTCCCCCCCCCCTACCGCTGCCCCCGGGCCTTGACGTCGCCGCTGCAGGGCTGGGCGCAGGCGGCGCCCGGCGGGGGCGCGAACACGGCGACCTTGAGGAGGGCGAGCACGTCGCCTCTGGACGGCGTCGTGGCGAACACGGCGGCGGCCTCCACTGGGGCTCCGGCCACGGTTGGCGCCACGAGGATGGCGCGCGATGCGGCGCCGACGGTGCCCGCTGGCTGCACGCTGTCCCCTACGCTGGGGGTAGCGTGCACGTGGCACGCTGTCCCCGCATCGATCTGCACGCTATCCCCCCGACATGTGTCCGACAGAATGAAAAATACGCTCAAAGCTTCCAGTTTGTTTTGTGGGGGTAGCGTGTTTCTCGGAGGTCGGTGTTGCACGCTATATCTGCCACGCCAACCGTCAACAGTGCTTTCCGTTTTCGTTGTGTTCTCGTTCTCCCTCGTTGTGGGGTCTTTTTCCTCCCATGCTCTGGCGGGTTCCCTTCGTTCATCAGGCTCGGCTCGCCGAAAAAGCCAAAACAAGAAAAGCAAGAAAAGCAAGAAAAGCAAATATATGTCATGTAATATTACGAATAAGCGGTATATGTTTCTTGAGTATTATGATTTATTCGAGAATATTCGGGAAATATGTGTGATAATGATGAATAAATTGTAACCCTTTGATTTAATTGTTTTGGATACTGTAATATAAGATCATTAAGAGTAAGAGTACTAATACTACACATGCGAGTGATAGTAACAGTAGTAGTAGTAATCGTCGTCGCCGTAGTAGTAGTTGTAGTAGCCGTAGTCGTAGTGAGATTATACATATTTGAGTAATAGTAATCGTAGTAATCAACAAATATCCACACATGTACATAAACTACATTTATAAGAGTGCACACATAGATACATATACACACGTACTAGAACCACGCGCGCGCTTCGCGCGCTTAGGTTCTAGTCGACTCCGACAATGGTGTCCGCAGGCATCGCAAGCATCCCAGGATACGGTGGGACATGTATCCCAGGCGTACACCGCCTTTCTCTCGCGGGTGCGCGGAGCCTCCTGGGGGGTGCCTCGGGGTCCAGGGCGGTCGCGGGGCCGCCTGAGAGCGCCATGGGACGCACCGGAGGGCCCTTGGGAACCATCTGGGGGGGTCTGGGGGGCCTCTTGGGAGCCTTTTGGGGGTTGTCTGGCGGTGTCGTCGTCCTTGGGGCGTTTCTTGGGGGTCTCCTGGGGCCGTCTTGTACTCTCTTGGGGGTCTCTTGAGCCGTCCGTCTCGAAGTTGTTTTGGGCCGTGTTGGGGCTCTCTTGGGGGCTTCTTGAATCGTCATGGGGTGATCTTGACGGCTTCTTTTCCTGTCTAGGGCAGCTGGGAGCCAGGAACAGCAAGAACGCATCAACATATAAAACACTCGAACACGAGCTCCTTCCTAGGGGGTCCTCTCGGGGCGTCGGGGAGGCTTCTGGAACCTTGGGCCGTCTTCGCGCGGATTGGAACCTGCCCAGGGCGCCCCAAATGCATTCTTGGGCTGTCTTGGGCTGGTCTGGAGGGCGTCTGGAGCCGATCGGGCGCGCTCGGAGCCTCTGGGGTGGCCCCGACCCCCCATGTCAACCCGTTGTCCCCGTCCGGGCATTCGCCTCCTATTCGTCGTCCTCCTCCTTCTCCTCCTCCTCGTGCTCCTCCTGACCCTCCCGTTCCTGCTCCTGCTCCTGCTCCTTCCTCCTCCTCCTCCTCCTCCTCCTCCTCCTCCTCCTCCTCCTCCTCCTCCCCCCCTCCTCCTCTCCCTCTTCCTCCCTCCCGTCCGATTCCGTCTCTCCGCCCGTCTCCCTCGGGGAGCGCCGCGGCGTGCGCGGCGGGCAGCGCCTGTCGCCCCCTCCTCCTCCGCCTCCTCCTCATCCTCCTACTCCTTGCCCTCCTGTTCCTCGACCTCGCCCTCGTCTTCGTCCTCGTCCTCCCGGTGGTCTGGGGGGTGGAAGCATAAGAAATCATGTTCCCGAAAAGCTTTCTGGGGAAATGATGTTGGGATGTCTCGGGGGGCATCTGATGGCTTCCCTTGGGGGACCCTTGGGGACCTCCTGGGACTTCCTGGGGGGCTCATCCTCATCGTCGTCATCGGCATCGTCATCGTCATCGTCATTGTCGTCGTCGTTATCATCATCAGCATCATCATGATCATCATCATCAGCAGCAGCATAATCGGCATGAGCATCAGCATCAGCATTATCGTCATCATCAGCAGCACCATCATCATCATCATCATCATCATCATCATCACCACCACCACCACCACCACCACCACCATCATCATCATCATCATCATCATCATCATCATCATCAGCAGCACCATCATCATCATCATCATCATCATCATCATCATCATCATCATCATCATCATCATCAGCACTATCATTATCATCAGCATCATCATCATCATCCTCATCATCATCATCGTGGTCGTCGCCATCGTCGTCAGCATCATCAACACCATCACCATCACCATCACCATCACCAACACCATCGCCATCATCATCACCATCATCATCTTCACCATCAGATTCACCATCATCATCATCATCATCATCATCACCATCATCATCATCATCATCATCATCGTCGTCGTCATCATCATCAGCAGTAGCAGCAGCCGCATCAGCATCGCATGGGCCGCCGCAGAGGCGTTTCCGAGCGTGGCGGCAGGTAGCGGTGCGTGGGACTCTCTGAGGGTGGTTCCTGGTAGGCATTTAGGAATCATGATTTGAGCGGGGGGCGGCGGCTAGCGCAATCATGTTCCGGGAAAGCTTGCTGGGAGCATGATTTGTTAGGCTATATTGTGGGGCCTCTAGGAACAGACCTGAGGGCCCATTCAGTTCCTGCTTGGCAGGCATTTTGGGGACAGATGGTGTGGGCGGGGAGCGGAAGCCTGAGGAATCATGCTCCCGGCAAGCTTTCTGGGAACATGATTTGTCGGGCTGTCTTGGGGGGCCTCTGGGCGCGTATATGAGGGCCCATTGGGGGGCTGCCCGGCAGGCATTTTGGGACTCATGGTTGGGGCCGGGTGCGGAAGCCTGAGGAATGATGTTTCCGGGAGGCTTCCTGGAAACATGATTTGTTGGGGTGTCTTTGGGGGCCTCCGGGGTCTTCGGGGCCTCACGCATTTTCCGAGCGTGGCGGCAGCTAGCGCTGCTTGGGACTCTCGGAGGGTTTTCCTGGCAAGAAGGGAACATACTTTGGGCGGAGGGCGGCAACTCGCTAAATCATGTTCCCGGGAAGCTTTCCGGGAACATGATTTGTTGGGCTGTCTTGGGGGCCTCAGGGGGCGTATCTGGGGACCCACTGGGGCCTTCCCGGCAGGTATTTGAGGAACATGGATGGGGCGACCATGTTCCGGGAAAGCTTTCTGGGGACATGATATGTTGGCTGGGGGCTTACCTGGGGGCCCCTGGAGGCCTTCCTGGCAGGCCGTTTGGGAACGTGGTTGGGGCGGTGGGCGGAAGCCGAAGGAATCATGTTCCCAGAAAGCTTTCTGGGAACCTGATTTACTGGGGGGTCTTGGAGGCCCGCTGGGGCCTTCCCTTAGGGCTCCTTCGGGGCCTGTTGGGGCTTCCGGGGGCCTCTTGGGAGCCTCACGGGTCTTCTTGGGAGCCTCTTGATGGCCTCCAGGGCCTTCCTGGGGGCCTCTAAGGCGCGCGCGCGCCAGAGACCTTGAAATGTCGCGTTCTTGGTGCCCTCTTGAGTCGCTCTTGGGGCCTTCTTGGGGCGCTCTTGGGGCCCTCTTTGGTTGTCTGGGGAGCCTCCTGGGCCGTCTCGGGGCCCTTTTGGGAGCCTTTTCGGCCGTCTTGGAGCGATCTCCGTGGGGAAGCGGAACATGCGGGAATGCACAAGTCCTTCAAAAACCAACGGAACATTTATGATTTTTGGCTTCTGGGGCCTTTTTGGGGAGCCGCTTGAGGCCCTCTTGGGGCGGTTTGGCGGCGTCGTCGGCCGTCTTGAGGCCATATTGGGCGTCTTCGGGGCCTCTTGCGGGCCCAATTTAAAGCCAAACGCCCTCCAAGGAGCAAGAAGAGAGGATGCCCATGGGCGCCCCCGCCGAGGAGGCCTGCGAGGGCCAAAATGGGCCCGTGGGGGCTCGATGAGGGCCCCTGGGACCCCGCGACGGCTATTTCCAGCGGGCGGGGGTCTTCCCGAAACCATCGTGAATATCAAAATATATCCAAATATATCCAAACATATACAAATATATCTGCACATATATATATATATATATATATATATATATATATATGCGGGACCCTTGCGGGACCCTTGCGGGACCCTCCCTATTTTTTGTTTTTTTCAAAGAGTATCAGGGAATTTAATTATCGGGCCCTCCTGCGGGACCCTTGCGGGACCCTTGCGGGACCCTGTGCTGCATTTATTGCAGATAATTACTTGAGATACATGCTGCGGGACCCTTGCGGGACCCTCCCTATTTATTGTTTTTTTTTTTTTTAAAAAAAAAAAAAGAATATCAGAGAATTTACTTATCGGGCCCTCCTGCGGGACCCTTGCGGGACCCTCTGTGTACGCGGCGCAGCCCTGGCCCTCGCGAGCCCGCGGGCCCAGGAGGCTAGTTGCAGCCTCTATGCAAAATTCTCTAGCTTGGGGCCCTATTGGGCCGTCTTGGGGTCCTCGTGAGGGACTCTTAGGCCGTCCTGGGACAGCTTAGAAGCCTCTTGGGCCGCTTCGGGCCCCATGGGGGCCCCCCGAGGGGTTTTGGGGGGGTCCCAGAGCTCCCGAGACTGCCCCGGCCCGCTCCCAAACGGGCCACGACAGGCCAAGAGGGCCCAGCGAAACTGTCGCCACGTTCGTGGGCTCCTGGGAGGCCCAACTAAGTGGTCTCATGCGCAGACAAAAAGAATGAGGCCTCGCCGTCCCTGGGGGCCGCGAACTGCGAAAATGTCGTTACTTTCCTGGACTCCGGGGAAACCCAACGGAGTGACTTCATACGCGAATTCGAATGAAGCCTGGCCGTCCCTGAAGGCCGTGAACTGCGAAACTGTCGCCACGCTCGTGGGCCCTGGGGAATCCAGCGGGGTGGCGTGATACGAAAGTGGGGGTCGACCGCAGGGTCCCGGCAATGATGTCTTTATGGGCCATGAATGGGCAATGCGTCCTCGATTGCTGTGTTCGGCGGGGGAACTAATGGAAGCCCCCCGCCTGCACCCATGCGCGAGACTTGAAAGGAAAGGAAGCAAGGGGGCGGGGGGCTCGGGAAAGGCGACGAAGGCAACGTGCGCTGAGGGCGCAAAAAGAAAAGGCTGGAACACACGAAAACGGTCAGGTGAGTGTCGAAATCTGCCCAGCCAATCTGACATGCGGAACAAAACGCCTGAGTGTTGGGAATATTGAAGGCCAGGGCAAAATGTGAATTCACATTGTGGGGAAAAGCAAAATGTGAATTCACATTTGGGGAAAAAGAACAATGTGAATTCACATTTTGGAAAAAAGGAAAATGTGAATTCACATGTTGGAATGTTGTGTAGGATTCTGTATGAAAAGGGCCAGAATGTGAATTCACATTTTGGGAAAAAGGACAATGTGAATTCACATTTTGGGGAAAAGGAAAATGTGAATTCACACTTTGGGAGAAAAGTGGGCCCCATTCCAAATCTGTCTTGGGGGTCGAGAAGTCATCGTTTGGGAACATACACGATCATCAATCGCACAATCAAGACACACTTGCACTCCACCTCGCTGCCCCACGCGCAATATGCAAGAACCCCCGCACGCATGAACGATAATGGATGGACGGCGCGTGTGCCCGCGCGGGCAACGCGCGGGCACGAACGACTGGCCCTCAATGACCGCCAACATTGGATGGGATGCCAATCGTACCTGTTCACATACGTGAACGATGCATTGAGCATACATGGGCCATTCAGCCCCCATTGAAGACCCCCTGTTGCAGACCCCCTCTTTCACCCTCCAAACCAGAATAATGAGGCCTCGCCGGCCCTGGGGGGCTGCGAAGTGCAAAACTGTCGCCACCTTCGTGGGCTGCTGGCGGGTCCAGCGCAGTGACACGATCCGCAGATCAGAATGAGGCGTCGCCGTCCCTGAGGGCTGCGAACAGCGAAACTGTTGCCACGTCCTTGGGCTTTTGGGAGGCCCAGCGGAGTGGTGCCATATGCATGCCAGATAGGAACGTCCCCCCCCCGGTGGCTGTGAACTGCAAAACTGTCGCTGGTTTCGGTGGCTCCTCGGAGGCCCAGCAAAATGGTGCCACACGCAGATCAGAATGAGGCCTCGCCGTCCCTGGGGGCCGCGAACTGCGAAACCGTCGCCATTTTCGTGGGCCCCCGGTGGGTCCAGCGGAGTGGTGCCATTCGCATATCGTCATGAGGCCTCGCCAGCTGTCGCCACTTTCGTGGGCTCCTGGAAACCCAGCGGAAGATGCCACGCCCAGATCAGAATGAGGTCTCGCCGTCCCTGAAGGGGCCGCGAACGGCGAAACTGTCGCCACGTTCGTGTGCCTCTGGGAGGTCCAGCGGAGTGACGTCATACGCAAATCAGAATGAGTCCTCGCTGCCCCTGGGGACTGCGAAATGCGAATCTGTCGCCATTCTCGTGAGCTTCTGAGTGGCCCAGCGGCGTGACGTCCGACGCGGATTACACTGAGGCCTCGCTGGGACTGGGGCCTGCAGCTGCGAAATTGTCGCCGCGTTCAGGGGCTCCTGGGAGGTCCAGCGGAGTGGCGCCACACGCAGATCAGAACGAGACCTCGCCGTCCCTGCGGGCTGTGAACTGCGAAGCTGACGTCACGTTTGGGAGCTCCTGGGAGGTCCAGCGGAGTGACGCCACCCGCATATCATAATGAGACCTTGACGTCCCCGGGGGGCTGCGAAATGCGAAACTGTCGCCGTTCTCTTTGGCTTCTGGGTGGCCCAGCGGCGTGACGTCCTACGCGGATCAGAATGAGACCTCGCCGCCCCTGAGGCTTGCGAGCCACGATACTGCAGGTGCTTTCGTGGGCTTCTGGCGGGCCCAGCGGCGTGACGATCTCCGCGGATCAGAATGAGACCTCGCCGTCCCTGGGGGCTGCGAACAGCGGAACTGTCGTCACCTTCGTGGGCTCCTGGGGGCCCAGCGGCGTCACGTCTTACGCGAATCAGAATGAGGCCTGGCCGCCAGTGGGGGCTGCGAGCTGCGAGCTGCGAAACTGTTCCCGATTCCATTGGCTCCTGCGACATATCATAATGAGACCTCGCTGTCCGTGGGGGCTGTGAGCAGCGAGACGGTCGCCACTTTCGGCGGTTGCTGGCGGATCCAGCGGGGTGGCGTGATACGCGAACCAGAATGAGACCTCGCCGGCCCTGGGGGCTGCGATGTGCAAAACTGTCGCCACTTTCGTGGGCTGCTGGCGGGTCCAGCGCAGTGACATGATCCGCAGATCAGAAAAAGGCGTCGCCGTCACTGGGGGCTGCGAACAGCGAAACTGTTGTCACGTCCGGGGGCTCCTGGGAGGCCCAGCGGAGTGGTGTCATACGCAAATCAGAATGAGACGTCGCCGTCCCTGGGGGCTACGAACTGCCAAAGTGTCGCTACGTTCGTGCCCCCCTCGTCATCGCTCCTTTGAGATCGTGGTCGCGTTCTTGCCGAAGATATGAGTCGCACGAGTCATGGGGAACGTTTGTCTGCGGCCCCACGTTCTTTGGCGAAGCGTTCAAGGATACTGCGAATCCTTCAAGGCGTAAGTTTGAAATGAGCGGTCCTCGGTATAGTCGCCTCATGTGTACAACGGGTTGGGTGCGTCTCTGGTCAATTACTTTTGGAGGGTCTTATGGGGCCCCCAGGGAAGCGATCCTCGGGCGTTTCTGGGACCCGTTGGGCCTTGATGGGGGCACCTTGAGCTCGAAGACAGCCCCAGAGCGCGTCAGGAAGGCCAGTATTCGCCTCTCCTCTCTGGAAGCTTCGGGATCGCCAGGAGTGCCTCAGAGCGTCTGGGGAAGGGGCTCTTGGAAGCTTTGTGGGGCTTAGTGAGGGCCTCTTGGGAGCCGCTTCGGGCATCTTGTGGCCTCCTGGGGACCTCTTGGGGCGGAGAGCTTGAAATGTCCGTTCGGGTACCCCCTCTGGGCTCCTTCTTGGGGCCGTCCTGGGGCCCTTCTGGGCCGTCTTGGAGGCCTCTTGGGCCGTCTTGGGGCTCTCTGGGGCCATCTTGGAGCCGTCTCGGGGGCCCATTGAGCCGTCTTGGAGCGATGGTGGGGGCCTCTTGGGCCGTCTTGGAGCGTCCGGCAGCCGAAATGGTGAGAACCCAGAGAAACTCCCCACCCCACGGAAAAATCAATGTATTTTGCCTCGTGGGGCCCTCTTGGGAAGCCTCTTGGAAGCCTCCTGGGGCGTCTTGGAAGCCGCTTGGGCTGTCTTGGGATCATATTGGGCGTCTTGGACCGATGTTTGGGCGTCTCGGGGGTCTCTTGGACTTACTTGGGGGCGTTCTGGGGCCGTCTCGAAGCCGTCTAGGTCCGTTTTGGGGCAGTCAGGAAGGCGCTGGGGGCCCTGGTCCTCCCATGCGCCGCCGTGGTCCTTGGGCGCGGCCAGGGGGCCTCGTTATGTATGTATGTGTGTGTGTAAGGATGTATGCATTCATGCATGCATGCATGCATGCATGTATGCATGTTTGTGTGTATTCATACATGTATACAATGCACACCTATATGTGTGAATATATTACACGCTATATGATTATTTCTACTACTGCTACGACTACCCGAATTAACAGTATCAAAACAATGAATTCACAACGCTACTAAATACCAAGATCAGTTCATAAATATGACCTAAATAACCCACAACAGTTAGGAATTAATCAAATATTTTATGATAATTATCACATATCCACCACTTATGCGCAGTATTCCCTGCCATATATTTGAATTGTTTGCTTTTCTTGCTTTTCTTGTTTTTGAAGTGTTTGCTTTTCTTGCTCGCGGAAGGCCTGATGAACGAAGGGAACCAGCCAGCCCATGCTGCAAAACGAAATCAGAACGAAGACGGTCCACGAAATCGCCCAAACACCGCTTAGCTCTTAGCTCGAGCCCTGGCCTCCACCGTGGCGCTGTACTCGCCCGCGGGGGCGCGGTCGGGGCCGATCCAGCTCACGCGGAAGCGGTTCTGCTGGTGGTCGTCCGTGTGGGCGCTGATGGCCCCGTCGGCGTGCACCTGCACCGAGACCGAACAGGCCTGCGGGGTCCACACTCGGCCCCCCTTCCGGAAGAAGGGCAAACTGCATGAGCAGAAACGTTCGGAGGTCCGCGCAGACCTCTCGGACCGGCGCTGAGCCGCCCGGAAGGAGGTCCAGCGCCGACGCGAGATGGCCGCGGGGCCCTCCGAAAGCGTACGCTGATGCGGTTCGTTCCTCTTCGACCTTCGGCTCGCACACCTCGTCCGCCTTCGCCGGGCACAGGCTCAGACCCTGGGTCGCGCAGAAGGCCTCCGCACCGCCGAGGTCGGAGGCCTCCCCGCAGGCCACGCGCTCCACGTACTCGCCCGCCGAGCAGTCGTCGCCGGGGTAGCCGACGCCCGCCTCCCAGCAGGCGAGCTGGCAGTACTTGTTGGCCTCCCAGCTGGAGCCGCCACTCCTGCACTTGCTCGTGGTCATGACCGGGACGCCCCTGCTGACCCACGTCTCGCTGTGGTTCGCGCAGCCCCGGCCGGTGCTTGCCATCCAGCTCGTCGGGTTGTTTCGGCACCCCGCGTTGCAGCATGACGCGGTGGCCAGGCGGCCGTACGGCTGCGCGCACTCCAGCTCGTCGAAGGACTGCCCGTCCGCGGTGTACCTCCCCTCGAAGAAGAACGGGTGGACACACGCCGGCGGGACAAACTCGTAGTAGCCGCACCCGGGAAGGTGGACGCCGGCAGGGCACGCCACCTTTCGAGGATCAAAACACACTTATCGCATGAGCCAGCGGAGGTCTGTGCGGATTTCTTGGCTTGTGCTGCACCCCCCTCCCTGCCGCGCGGAGCGCGCCAGGGGCGCCGCCGGAGGCGCCGCGAGGGGGGCCCGGGAGCCGATCCGAGAAATCCGCGCGGAGCTCCGAAGGCTTGTGTGTGTATGCTGCGCGATTCTTGCGGCCCCGGGCCTTGAAGAATAACGCGCCGTCCAGTGAGCACTCGGCGCCACGGCAGGCGAGCGCGGACGCCAGCGTGCGCGAGGGCGCGGCGCGGCAGTCCGCGGCGTCGCCGCCGCACAGCGCCCGCAGCAGCTCGGAGCCGGGCTCCGGTTCGAACACGAGGGCGGCGCAGTCGGGCGGGCCGGTGGTGGCGGAGGCGCGGTAGGCCGCGCGCGCGGCGCTGTCCTTCGAGGATGGACAGAACCCCCTTTAGTAAAACGTGGATTCGTGAAAACGACCTCGGGCCAATTCACTAATCGACGTGTCAGGGTGGGGGTTCTGTCCACAACCGAGTCCTGCAGGTGGCAGCTGCCGCTGCCATAGAACGTGAAGTGGGCGCAGCCGGACACCGAGGCGCACCTCTGCTGGCACTCTGCGGCCGACCCCACCTTCGTGGCGCCCTGGCCAGGCATGTTCTGGGGCTCGTGCCTAGAGAGGGCCAGACACCGATACTGCGCTGCCCCTCCCTCGACGCCACGGCTGGATTCGAATCGAAAACAGTATCAAAACGCACCCCGTAACCAGCCTCGAACTTATCCCTACGTACCCTAAGATCGGCAAGCCCAAGGCGATGACAATCTCGGGGGTGTGCCCTCAGAAACTGAGGGAATCCTTAAGATCAGCACCGAGAGAAGGCGATGCCAAACATAAGGATAAGGATATGTTTACAGCTGGTGACCACGGGAACAGGAGAGGTGCGTGGGATGGCGGTATGGGCTCCTTGTTTGTCTCCCCGGTGCCGGGTGTCGTAGGAGGTGCAGTCCGGCATGGCGCTGCCGCGCCACTCGAAGCGGGCGCCCTGGAGCAGGAAGGGGCGTTCCGGCAGCGAGCTGCACTGCGGCAGCCCGTCCCCGAGGTAGCCGCCGTGGAGGTCGTGCTTCGGGAAGAAGTCGTGATGGCCTGCCCGCAGGCGCATGGGGTCGATGAAGTTTCTGCCGTCCCGGAGCTCGATGTTGTCTCGCGGCGGGGGGCTGACGAAGCCCGTGAAGACGCGCGCGAAGCTCATGATGTTGTCGTTGTCGTACGTCGGCACGTCGGCGCCCTTGTCGTCGACCTGCACGCGCCCGTCTGGCGTGAACTTCACGAGGCCGACGGTGAATAGCTGCATGATCTCGCGGGCGTAGTTCTCGTCCGGGTAGGAGCCGCTGGCGTCGTAGGACCTGCTGCCGACGAACGTCAGGTACTCGCCCATGAGGGGCGAGAAGGTCACCTCCTGCAGGAGGCTCCGGAAGCTGCCGAAGGCGCCCCGCACGAAGATGTCGTAGTAGGCGAGGAAGAGCTCGTTCCACGCGTCGTGGCTCGTGCCCGACGACCCGGTCACGAAGATCTGCGACAGGGCCCACGCCATCCGCTGCCGCAGCTGGTCCTGCCCGCCCAGCGCCTTGGCGAGCCACACCGTGCCCTTCCCCAGGCTGTTGTACAGCGGCGGCCAGCGGGCGCGGTCCGAGCCGTACCTGTTGTCGTACCGCGTGTCCTCCCGCGCGTCGTCCAAGTGGGCGGCGCGGAGGGGCAGCTGGTGTCCCTCCGTCGGCAGGTTCTGGACCTCGCCAGGCGAGCCGCAGAGGCCGAGGTCGCTGCCAGGGGCGCTCTCCTCCCCCTGGAGCTTGCACGTGTTGTCGGCGAGCTCGACTCTGGCGTCGTAGCGGTAGAATGCGCCCAGGTGCCGACCTCGGATGAACTCACTGCCGCCGAGGCTGCAGTTTGGGCTGTCCTCCGAAAGGAACACGAGCCCCGCCTTCGTCGCGCTGGAGTCGAAGGGCAGGCCGGTCCACTGGGCATGGGACGTGTCCGAGAACCAGATCGCGGGGTTCTCCACAAAGCTCCTGCTGGCCGCGGCGCAATCGGGCCTCGCGCTCAGGGCCACGAGCCCGCCGACCGCCTCCTCCACGGAGCACACGGCGAGGCCGGCCAGGCCGTCGAGGGCGCCCCACCCCGCCGAGCAGTCGTCGCCATCGTACCGGAAACCGGCGTCGAAGCAGGACTGCTGGCACACTGTGCCGGCGACCCAGTCGTCATTGTACTTGCAGTACGTGAACATCCGGCTGGCCTTCTCAGCGCACGTGATCCCCTTCTTCTGCCACCACTCGGTCGGCACGTCCGTGCACTGCGAGGGCGCGTCGAGGCCGTTCTCGGAGAACTCGGGGTCGATCTCCGACCGAAGGGCGCCGTCGACGAGGATGCGCCCGCCGGCCACGCTGATCCGCTTCCCGACGTCGGCGACGGAGAGCGCGTACCTGTGCCAGCGCGATCCCTTGGAGCAGGCAGACCGCTCCTTGAAGACGTAGTCCACCGCTGGGTCGAAGCGCGGGCTTGCGCGCTGGCGGAAGTGCTCGCGGTGGGAGCCGGCGGGGAGCCGCATCTGCTCTAGGATCCACTCCTGGTAGGTCTTGCCGCCCAAGTCTGCCAGGCTGCCACGCGTGGGGCCGAACGTGGCGTGAAGCAGGAACCTCCCGTCATCCTTGAGGCAAAACGTTAGAGGGGGGGGGCGGCTCAGGGGAGGAAGAACACCAAGCTGGAATCGGCGATTCGTCACCGACAGATCGGCGATCGGCCCCCGGTGGCGAGTCCGCACGCGGCTTGGCGGGCAGGCTGACTGTCGGGCGACTCTGGGCCGACGCCCCCCCCCTGAGCCTGTCCCCCCGAACGTTGCCCCTGAGCCCGATGCCGCTACACCACGGATCTCGCCAAGGGTCGAGCAGTGGCGAAGCGACCCGACTTTCCTTTAGGCCCACCAAAACATGTTCTAAGAACCGATTGTGGTCTGCGAGACATGTTCTTAGAACATGTCTGGCTGAGACTGTCTTGTCTGAATGCATCGGGCTTCTGTTCTAAGATCAACAGTTTTTGCTCTTAGAACACTTCTGGGTTCTAAGAACATTTCGCAGTGGGCCTGTAGGACTGCCGGGACGGTCGGTCCCTGCTCAAAAGGGCGCGCTGGGACCAGGATCTCGAGGCGGCCCCGGCCGTGGCGACGAGGGAGGGGCAGCGGCACTGGTGACGCCGCTCCTCTCCCGAACCATGTGTAGAACTCACGGAAGCTTGTCATGGACGGGAGAGGGGCTCCATACCGCGCAGTAGACCGATAGCGACCCATGGCGACCAGTGGCGCGCAACAGCGACCATGCCCACGGCACGATCACGACCAATAGCACGCAACAGCGACCAATAGCGCAATCCGCCACCGTGCCTCTGGGCACGGAGTGGGCGTCCTCAGGTCCTTTGCCTAATCCCTGGAGCCTCAATCCTCACCCCTGAGGAGTCTGTAAGGGGCGCCGAACCCAACTTCCGAAATCTAGGTGGGCTTGTCGCGTCCCCCTGGGACTTCCCGCGTGTCCCCTGGGACTTCCCGCGTGTCCCGCTGGGACTTCCCGCGTGCCCCCTGGGACTCCCCGCGTGCCCCCTGGGCTTTGGGAAGCGGTGGCGCGTGATTTTCTCGGGCCCGGGAGGGCTCAAGACGGGCCAGGAGGGCCCCGAGAAGCGCTGACGACGACCAAAGAGGGTCCCGAGTCGCCGAAAGATCGGTCCAAGACGCCAGAGATGGCCCCCAGATGGCCCAAGAAGCCTCCAAGACGCCCCGAGAAACGTCCAGGGGGCACTTCAAGAGGGCCCCAAGAGGCAAAAGTCATCCAGTCCTCGGGTGGTTGAAGGGCTTGGGGCTTGGAAGTTCCCGAGACGGCCCAGGCGGCCCCCACGACCACCCCGAAACGGCACGAGAGGCATCCCAAAGGGCCCCCAAGGCGGCCCCGCAAGGAGCCCCAGGCAGAGAACACGACTCGAAAATATCCGAGGCGTCCGCCCCGAGAGGCCCCCCGGGGAGGCCCCGAGAGAGGCCCCGCAGTGGTCCCCTAGAGGCCCCAAGAGGGCCCAAAGATCTTTGGGCCCTCTTGGGCCCAAAGAAAGCGGCGAGAGGCCCCCAAGCGGCCCTCAGAAGGCCTCCAGACTGCCCCCAAGAGGCCCCCGAGAGACCTCCCACGAGATCCCAACGAACATCCCCCACAACCCACCCACGGTGGCGGGATGGGCCCAAGGCCGCTCAGACAGAGCGGGGCGCGAAAGCGCGCAGTGGCGACCAACAGCGCGCAGCAATCAGCGCGCACAATGGCGACCAGACTTGCGAGGCGAACCCGGCCGTGGCGACGAGTGGCGACGAGGGAATGGCAGCGGGCAGCGGTGGCGCCCATCCCCTTCCCGAGGGAGGCCTCCCGGGCGGGGTCCGAGCAGCAGGAGGGTCCAGCCGCACCGCCGACGCCTCGGCGATGCGCCGCCGACGTCGGCGATGCATCGGCGGCATCGGCGTGGAGAGAACCGGGCTCGGCAACGAAACCCATCGCCGATGCCCAGAGATCCGCTGTCGTGATTGTTCAATACGGGCCCCCTCGGAAGTCTCGACCCCTTCCCGAGGACTGGCGTTTCATCCCGAGTCCTTGGTTGGCGGTCCTGGGGCCCGGCGAGGGCCCCTAGAGGCCGACAACTGCGAAAAACCTCCGTCTTGACGTTTCCAAAACGTTGGATCTCTGGGTGCATAGGCGATGCGGCGCGATCCTCCGAAGCCATCTGCCCAGACCCCACCTGGGGTGCCCAGAAAGTCGCAGCCGACGGCCAACGACGGCGGATAGAGAGAGTAAGAGGCGGAGGGGCGGCAGCAGGAGCGAGGGAGGAGAAGGCAGAGAGGGGAGGAGGAAGAAGAGGAAGAAGAGGAGGAGGAAGGAGGGAAGGAGGAGGAGGAGGAGGAGGAGGAACGTTTAGGAACGCTTAGTTTTACCCGAGGCCCAATTGGGCCCCGCACCACAGACAAGGGAAGCTAACGCCGCACACAGCACAGAAGCCCCATACGCGACCTGAACTATCCAAGCCCTAGATGCGGAACCCTCCTGGGGACTGGTGCAGACACGGCTCAAGAGCACCACCAGGGGCCTCAGAGGCATGCTCGCCGTGTGCGGCGGCAGCAAGGAGGGCTTCCTGGACACGGAGGGTCCCCCGAGGTGGGCCTTCACGACGGGAAAAAAGACCCCTCCGAATGCGAAGGAGGTTCTCGTTACCTCCTCGATTCTCACTCACCTCGACAGGGCTTACGCAGAAAAAAACGAGGGTCCCCTCCATTCCCGATCGAGGTGAAGCAACCACAGCGAGCGCAATACGTGATGCAGCGAAGGGGGACAGCATGCAGCACGCGGGAGGGGTGGAGGTCGAGGGCCCCTCTCCCTCCTTTGCGCAGCTCGGCAGCGGCCACGGGCACGAACGTGGCTCCGCCAGCGTCGAGCGACGTCACGGTACTCTCGTCGGCAGGCCTGCACACGCATACGGACTGGCTGCGAAGCAGAGCAGCTGGCTCTGCCCAACAACGCACAAGTTGCGAGTGCAAACCCAACGGCCCGCCCCACACTGCTGCAACTCGTGCGACGAGGACGCGCAGGCCGCGGCGGCAGCCGTGAGGACGGGCCGACGCGGCCCCGTGCACCGAATTCCACGCTGCAGGTCCGCCTCAGCAGCGAGCTCCAGGGCTCGGCAAGCCCTCCTGCGGACCATGCGAGCCTCCACGTCGGTGACGTCGGTGTGCGGCTCTGGCCCTACGAGCCCCAGCCGCCAGCTGGCCGCCGCGGGGAGGGAGGGAGGGAGGGAGGCAGGGAGGGGTATGGAGGAGGAGGAGGAGGAGGAGGAGGAGGAGGAGGAGGAGGAGGAGGAGGGGGAGGAGGGAGGAGGAGGAGGAGGAGGAGCAGGAGCAGGAGCAGGAGGGAGGAGGGAGGAGGGAGGAGGGGGAGCAGGGTGCATCCCCTCGGACCCCATCTGGGAAGCCTAGAGAGCCGGGGAAACCAAAAGGTACCCACACCGCTACCCCCCGGACCTCTCCTGTGAGGTCCGCTCTAGCCAGTCCCGAGGCGAATCCAGCGGCGGCGACGAGGGCCTCCCAGGAGGCCCAACAAGGGGAAGACGACCGAAGGGTAGCGGTATGGGTACCCATCGGTCGGGAGAAGTAGGTAGAAACATGAGGTAGGAAGGCGCTGAAAGTAGACTGGGTTTCCGCCCGCCCCCTCAGGAGGACGGAAAAGGTGAAACCACTCGATCACTGCAGTAGGAAGGCGCTTAAAGTAGATTGGAATATGGGACTCCAGAATACGAGTGGGGGATCGACTACAGAATTGATTTGCCCCAAAATTGAGATTCCCGCCGAGTCTTCGAAAAATGCGCACAACGTCCCGTACCTCTACGAAGCCTCTGAACGTTTCTTGCCCCTCCGGCGGGAAAAAGCCAATTCTGGGGCCAAGCAATTGCCTAGCCGGTGCCCTGGTCGACAGATGCCTACCTCCAACGACCGATGGGCACCCGCCCCTCCTCCGAAAGAGTCCTGCTCTCCACGCCCCTCGGCACGCCTGGCCTCGCCGTCGGCCCTCAGCACCGCGCGGGCCCTCCGCTGCACGAGCACGGCCTCCTCCCCCGGCCGCGCGCAGCCGCCGCGGCCGCCCGCGGCGCAGGCGCCGGTGGCCGGCAGCCTCGGCGCGGCCGCCGCCGCCGCCGAGGCGAGGGCGAGCTGCAGGGCCGTCCAGCGCCGTGCAGCCATCGGGGCGGCGGCGGCAACCGTCGTCGGCCGGGGCGGCGGGAGCTGCGGCAGGTTCGCGTAAAGTGTGGGGCCGCCGATACGATGCGCCGTTTTGTTTGTTCTCTATCTCTCTCTCTCTCTCTCGCTCTCTTTCTCTCTGGGCGCAACCGCACTCATCCAGTCCACCTTGCGTACCCACCGTGCCCGACTCGAGCATCGAAGCCCCCCAGCTCTCTGGGCGGTGGTTTGGCGAGTTTTCTCTTACAGTGTCCTGAATCAGACCCCTCCCTCTCCCCTTGGGAGGGCGCCGACTACGTCAAGTTCGTGTCGTGCCGACTTCGGCGCTGGCGTGGATCGTTCAGCCTTGAACGATCGGCCGTTTCTGACACGCCAGATTATTCAACATCGATACATGCTGGGTCGCCAGCGGCGTTCAACGTTGAACGCCGGCGGCGGGGTTGCCGTCGGTCGACACGACGCGAACCTACACGTACGCACATCAAGCCCGCCCCATCAGCCCTCTTCACTGCCCTCCCGCTTCTGCGGTCCCCTCCTCTTTCCCCCTCGGGCTTCTCCTCCCCTCCCTCCCCCCGTCCCCTATCCCCGCGCCGGGCAGGCTTCTCCTCCCCTCCCTCTCCCCCCGTCCCCTATCCCCGCGCCCCTCTCCCTCGTTGGAGCCCCGAAACAATGCGGTGACAGACCGCGCGGTGACCCCGACATCCCCCAAAGACCTGACCGCACGGCCCGTCCACGCACGGCCTTGGGACCTCGGAGGCCCCCGTCGCCCGGGACGCCCTCGGAGAACGATCCGAGCCCCAGAACAGCGCGGTGACCCCGAAGTCCCACCGACTCACCACACGGTGTGGTCACCACCCCGTTTGGTCGGGCGTTACCTGAAGGGCCCCTGGCCCAAGGTGCCCCCAGCTTCTCGCTCCACCCTGGGAGCCCCTGGGGCCCTCGTGAGGGGTGCCCTGGCGGCCCGTCTGGGCCACCACCGAGAATCCCAGGGGTACCATTAGGCCAGGGGCACTTCTTGCAACACCCGATTTGGGCCCCCCCGATCCCAGAGATCCGATGTCGTGATCTGTTCAATGCGGGGTCCCTGGAGGTCCTGACCCCTTCCCTGGGACCGGTCTTCCGTCCCGAGTCGTTGGTGGAGGGTCCTGGGGCCTGGCGAGGGCTCCCAGAGGCCGACAAAGCCCCAAAAACATCCGTCCTGATTTTTGTCCATGCGCCGGATCTCTGGGCAGGGAGCCCTCCCCCCTCCCCCCGCCCCCCGCCGGCGCGTGGCCGGCCTGCCCTGGGTCCCGCCGCCCGAGTCGTGGGAGAGCCGGCCGTCGGGCCCGCGCGGGGGGAGCGGCTCGAGCCGAGGCAGCTCGGGCCACGAGGTGCTCCGGGCGGCAGAGCAACCGCCCCCCCCCCCCCGCCCCCCTTCCCCCTTTGGGCTCGAGGGGGGGGGGGGATTTGGGCGCGCGGCCGTCGGGGGAGGACTGAGGGGGGGTAGCAGTTTTGAAGCCCAGGTCGGGTCCCTGGGGCAGGAAAGGGGGGGGGAGAACTGTGGGCGCGCTCCGTCGGAGGGCTAGTCGCCCTCCCGCCCCAAGCATGATGCCATCTGCAGCAGGGGGGCAAAGCAGCCATACTTCACGCCTGCCTTTCACGTTTCGTGCTGGTCACCTCCTGTCGCCAAAACCTGAGGCCCCAGAGGGCCCCCCAGGCCCTCGCGTTCCCTGCCCTCGCCCCTGCGAGCAGCGCCCACGTCGAAAATTTGGGCCCGCGAGCATGCCGAATCTGACAACCTGGGGACAACTTCTTCACTCGCTGGCCTCCAAGATGGCCCGAAGACAGCCCAAGAAGCCCCAGAGAGCTCCACGAGGCCCTCATGAGGCGCCCAGGCGGCCCCAAAGGAACTCCCCAGAGGCACCATGACGTACCAAGAGGCCCCCAAGGGGCTGGCAAGAGGGCCCCAAGCCGCCCGACGAGGCCTCTTAGAGGCCCTCAAGACACACCCTAAGAGACCCCGGGACGTATCCAAGGGGCCTCTGTCCCACACGGGCCCCCGAGATCTCCAAATGATGCCACATACACAGCCGCTCCTTGGGCATCATGTCTGTATGGGCTGGTGGGGATACTTTTTTTGATCGCGAGCGCATCGGAAAAGCCGAAGGCCGTCCGAAGGTCGTAGCAACCGAGCTACGGCCTAAATTGCGCAAACGGAAGGGAGAAAGAGGGACAACGAGAGAACAGCGGAAGGAGAGACAAACAGGAGCGCAAGGAGAGGTTCAGAATTTGCGGGGGCGCGAAAGTAGAGAGGACAGGGGACGGGGCACTAGGAGGCCACGAAGGCGCCCTCGGTGATTGAAAACTTGCAGGGTCGACATAATCGCGGCACGTTCGTGTCGTGACGATCCCATCAATGGTTTCTGACACCACGTTGATCGTTCAATCTTGAACGATCGGCAACATGTCGATCGCCAGATCGTTGCATGTGGACCGATTCTGGGACACTGGCGGCGTTCAACCTTGAACGCCCGCGGCGGGGTCGCTGCCGCGTCGGCACGACACGAACCTGCCGTACACCAACCTGGGCCTCGCGGGCGACGAAACGGCCACGAGGCGTCTTTGCTCACGGATGCCCCGCGCGGAATGTACTCGCGCGACCGCGTATCCGTGGGATCGCGCCCCGGAATCGAGACCGCGAGGGCGCGGATACAGTCGGGCTGCTGAAAGAAGGAACGATAAACAAGGAGCGAAGCCCTTTTTGGCGCCACAAGCGCCTGCGTGCACGAGGAAGGCTAGAGGAAAAGCCATAGAAGGGCCTAAGGAATATCGAGCCCCTTTCTTACCCAAACTGCTCCTTATTTCAGCGAGTTGGCTGTACGGACACGCTCGCCGCTCGTGAGGGTCAGCCCGCTTCGCCGTCGCGGCAACGCGGCGCTCGGTCATCCTCGCGCCCCCGCGAGGCAACCCTGAAGAGGGGCGGCTCGCGGGCCCCAGCCTTGATGAGGGAGGACGAGGAGGAGGGAGGAGGGAGGAGAGGGGGAAGAGGAGGAAGGAGGAGGAAGAGGAGGAAGGAGGAGGAGGAGGAGGAGGAGGAAGGAGGAGGAGGAGGAGGAGGGAGAGGATGAGGAGGAGGAGGAGGAGGAGGAGGAGGAGGGGAGGAGGAGGAGGAGGAGGAGGAAGAGAGAGGGAGGAGGAGGAGGAGGAGGAGGAGGAGGAGAGGAGGAGGAGGAGGAGGAGGAGGAGGAGGAGGAGGAGGAGGAGGAGGAGAGGATGAGGAGGAGGAGAGGAGGAGGAGGAGGAGAGGAGGAGGGAGGAGGAGGAGGAGGGGGGGGGAGGAGGAGGAGGAGGAGAAGGAGGAGGAGGAGGTTCGGCGAGGACAGCGTCTGAAGAGGTCGACCCAGCAGCGCGCGCCAGCGACTGCAGTGGTCTCCTGCCGACAGGGCTCGACTACACGCGAGAGTGACCCCAGGCAGCAGTGATTGACGCGCGGCTTTTGGTGGCCGCTGGGGCGCCAAATCCATGCGCGCGGGCCAATGTTGTGGGGAACCCAGTGGACCCACACTGAAGGTCACTCCGGCGAAGGGTTCCTCTTACGCGCAGCCGAGGGGAGAAGTGGCACTACCACCACCAGCGGGCCACATCCGGCGAGGAGGTCCACGATGCCACCTCGGGCTAGAGATTGGAGATGTGCCTCAAGCGGAACGACGCAAAACGGGGGAACCACCACATTACCAGTAAGACCCTGCCTGGCTCTCGCCCTTGATGGTGGTGCCGCCTCAATTCTTGCCCCTGCCAACAAGATGGCAACAAGATGATCACCGATACTGCTTCTCCCAGGACCCCTCCCCGGCTCCGTTCTGACCAACATTCCGAGAGCAACCCAGCAAAGCCCCGACGTCGTAATTTTCCGCGACGTGGGTCCCTGAAGTCTGGACCCCTTCGCTGGGACCCACTTTTCGTCCTGACCCGCTTGTTCACGGCCCTGGGGGCTGAAAATTGCCGAAAACCTACTGTCGCGATTTTTCACGACGCGAGGGGAACCGGCAGCGGTGTAAGGGGGAGGCGACATCCGAGCCCTGCCCCCGCCATCCATCGATTCTCCTGAATCGATGGGAGGCGGGGGTAGGGCTCGGACTTTGCCACGTGCTCGACGAATTCTGGAGACTACCGCCGCCGCCCGTCGAGTTGCCTGATCTGCGAGGGCACGGCTCGGATTTCGCCGCCGAGCAGCGGCGCGCCTCTTTTCCCTCCTGGCCCCTGCCGAGGCCGGCACCGCAGCTGGCCGCGGCGCGCCGGCAGCCCCGGGAGGGGCCCGAAGAGTATACACCGAGTCGTCTGGTCGGCCGAGGAGCTCGGCGCAGATAGGATGCGAGCGATGCCATGACGCGATTGTTCGAGGAACTCGAGACACACTTTGGAAGAAGAGAACACTGCATAAACAGAAACTGTTGGCGCTCCGCGCGGGTTTCTTGGATCCGCGATGGCCCCCCTTCCCTCCCTGGCGCGCGGAGCGCACCAGGGGCGGCGCCAGAGGCGCCGCCGGGGGGACCCAGCGCGGATCCAAATCCGCGCGGAGCGCCAAAAGTTTATGTGTATGCCGTCTTTCCTTCTTCGACACTTGGAAATCCTGGAGCACACCATCCTCGTGACCTCTGGTTCCTTTGTGCACAGACCTCCCAGCTTCCCAGGCTGCGGGGCGCTGGAGCACACATGCACCAGACTCCCTCGCCGAACTCCCTGGCTCCTTGCTGACAAACAAGGACAGGCGGCACCACCACCACCACCACCAGCGCCAGGAGCCAGGGGCGGTCCTGCTGGTAGTGTGGTCCCCCTCGCCCTGCTCGAGACATCCCCTATCCCCAGCTCGGAGAGGTATATCGTGTACATCCTCGCTGGAGGTATGGCACCCCTGGTCGTGGTGGTGTCGTGCTTGCTCCCTCTGGCTGCACTCCCCCGTGGGCAGTTCTTCGTCCCGGATCCGTCTTTGGATGGCCCCCGGGCCCGATAACGGGCCCCAGAAGCCGCAAACGCCGGGAGTGAAAAGGTCACATCGCCAAAAATCTCAACATGTATACCCAGAGATTCGATGTCGTGATTTTCCTATACGGGGTCCCCAAAAGTCTCGACCCCTTCTACGGGACATGTTTGTCATCCTGAGTCGTATTCTGACGGTCCCGGTGCCTGGCGAGGGCCCCTAGAGGCCGAGAACTGAGAAAAACCTCCGCCTTGATTTTTGTTTGATGCGTTGGATCTCTGTACACGTCGAGCCCCTCCGAGGCACGAGGCGGGGGGCGCCAGGGGGCGGCGTCACAGGTCGTAGCACGCGGCCTCCCGCCGCGGGAGCGGCGCCGCCGCCCGGCCCGCGCCCGAGGCCTCCTGAGAGAGGGGGGGGCTCTGGCACACATCGGCGAGGCTGTGAGGAGGATCTCGGGGGGAGGCCTTGCACTCAAACCTCCTCCCTCCTCCTCCTCGTCCTCCCTCCTCCCCTCCTCCTCTCCTCCTCTCCTCGCCTCCCTCCGCCTCTCTACTACTCCTCCTCCTCCTCCTCCTCCTCCTCTCCTCCTCATCCTACTCTCCTCCTACTCCTGCTCTCCCATACTCCTCCTCCTCCTCCTCCTCCTCCTCCTCCTTCCTCAAGCAATTTGGGGCGCGAGCGGGTTCCAGGGGGCAGGGCACTCTCTTCTGCATACCCTACGTTCCCCGCCCGCGCCTGCCTCGGCGCTTCCACGCAGCGCTTGAGGGGCGCCGCACCGCCCGCTCCGACGAGGGCAGGCTGTTGCGGCGGCGAAGCCGAGGCATTATGGCAGGAGCAGACAAGGTGTGGTCCAAGTGCGGTGGCTGCGGCACTTACGAGTGGAATGCGAAGCTACTTCAGAGAGACAGGCGGTGTCAGAAATGCAATCGTCAGGTCAAGCTGCACAGGCCACGCTCGTTGTCACGCGACCGTCGAGTTTCATTCGAGGACAACCAGCTGGCGGACACTGGCGGGTGCAGTCAACCCAAGTCGATCTTGAAGCCGTCTGTGTCATCTCTCCTCACATCGGCCATCTCTGCAGCGACGGACCCCGCCTTGAAGGCCACGTTTGAGGCTGAGTTGGCCAATTTGAGCACCAAGGCAGCGGAGGTCCCATCTGCCTCTGAGGTGGAAGTGGCTCGGAAGGCTGATGCAGCTCTTCGAGATGCTGGAGTGAAGCACGATCAGGCCGTCAAGGCGGTCGTGCGCCTCAGGGCGGCCCTTGAGGTCGCCGAGGCGAAGGAGTCGGCAGCGGCGGTGGCTCTGGTGCGAGCTGCGGCGGCGAAGAAGGACGCTATTCGTGTGCTGGCCGCAGCCGAGGGCGTCAGTCCCACGCCCCAGACCGAGGCATCGCACACGGGGCCCAAGCTGAACCTGTCCTGGGACGCGTCGCTTTTCGAGGACCTGGACGGCTTCGAGGAGCAGGAGAGGCAGGCCATGCTGAAGCTCAAGAAGGAGCTGGAGGGGGCCCGCGAGCTGCTGGGCAACCGCGAGGAGCAGATCAAGGAGTGGCTGCAGAAGGCCAACGAGGTCAAGTCTGCGGCCCAGGAGCGGCTCAAGAAGAAGAGGCGTGCCGCACCTGAGGGCGAGGGCGCTGGCGGGGGTGGCGGCAACACTGGTGAGGCGGCCGAGGCCCCGTCAGCCGAGGCCGCGCCACCGCCGCCCGAGACCCCTGAGGAAGCTCGGGCGCGCGAGGCGCGCGAGGCAGCCGTCAAGGAGGAGGCCGTGAAGATCTCCCAGGCGAAGCTGGCCGCCGAGACCGCCAAGCGCAAGGGCAAGAGCAACGGCAAGGGCGTAGATGCTGCGGCGGCCACCAACGCTGGCACCGGCAGCCAGTGAGGTCAGGCCGAGATGCACGAAGATAGTGGTGAGTTGTCTTCGTCATCGGCGGCCTGTGGAAGCTTACCAGATTATTCTTCAGCGGCCACTTTCCCGAGTCCTTCGAAGGTGTGGCGGTTTCCAGGTACTGGGTCGACATCGTCCAGTACGAGGGCTCCATCGAGGGCTTCGTCGGGGGGATCGGCCAGGTCGTGCAGCTCGCGGGGGAGCTCAAGCGGCAGGTCGGCACCTCCTCCTTCCTCTTCCTCGACGTCGGCAGCCTCGGGATCACCAGTCCCACTGCCTGTTCCCATTTTGACTCGCGAGGCTGATGATGCAGTTGTTTCAGGCGCAGAGGGGACATCTACGCTTGTGTTCGGTAACATCACGTGCATGGGCGATCGCATTTGGACCTATGTTCGTGACCAGTGTGCAGCTGTTCAGTTCTTCGCCTTCGTTGAGACCCATGTTTGTAAGCAGGATCTTCGGAAGCACGACCTGACAGCCAGGAAGCTCGGGCTTCGTCTCTTTGCTACAGGAGCAAGGCCCTCAGCTTCCTCACCAGCGGCGACCACGAATGGGCATGCCAATGAAGGCGGGGAGTGGATTCTTACTCGCGGGCACCTTCAAGCGCATTCCCTGACGTTAGCCGATACAGCAGCACTACAACATGATCGTGCTGCGCTACCTGACGGCTTCCGAGCCACCATAGTTCACATGAAAGGTTACGTTTTTGCCTTGGTTGCTTTCTACGGGTACTGCGGCATCGGCTTCCGCGGCGCCAACATCGCTCGCTATCGGAAGCTCGGTGGCCTTCTGTCGTCATTGCAGATTCCATGGGTTGTGGTCGCGGACTTCAACGTGAGCGCCGCGGCCTTGTCCAAAGCTGAGTTTGTGAGCAGAGTCGGGGGCCACATCCTCACCGCCAATGTGCAGTACACGTGCAGCTCTGGTGCGCAAGGTTCACATATCGACTATGTGGTCTGTTCTACATCAGCGCTCAGTTTTGTCAAGTCAGTCGAGCCGTTGTTTGCAGTTCCGTGGCAGACTCACGTGGGCTTGAAGGTGCAGTTTCGGCAATCGGGAGCACAGCTTTTAACACGAGTGTTGTCGACAGCTGTCAAGTTGCCGCAGGTACCTCGCCCAGGTCAGGAACCCGATCCGCAATCCAAGTCGAGCCGATCGAGACAGGAACGCGTGCTCACTGGGTTAGCTGCTGCTCAGAAGCGTGAGGAGCGGTACGGCGACATGTTTGGCGATGTTTTGCAAGCGCTCGATGAGAAAAAGACACGCCCCTCTGGTTCAGGAGATCCTCTGAGTAGGCAGGCGGTCTCGGTAGGTACCACTTTAGATCTCGATGAGGCCTCCATTTGTTCCGAAGAGGACCCTTGGGCCGACGAATTGAATTTTTGTCGCGACGACAGTCTTCGGGTGCCAGGGCAGGTTTGTGGTACCGAGGGCAGTTCGTCCAGTGTAGGGTCGCCCTCTGAAGTTAGCCCCCACTCTCGGGCGGAAGCTGGTGGTGGTGCTGGGGCGGCTGGCTCTGTGCGGAAGCCGTGCGGGGTCGCCGTCTCGTCGGGTGCCTCCGCCGCCTTGGGGGAGCCAACGAGTGGGCCAGCTAGCTTAGGAGGTAATTCGAGGTTCACCCAGCCCCCCGAAGCTGACACCAAGGTCGGCCCGTCTTATAGTATACCCTTGTCGGTTTGGGAGGCCCAGCGTGCCTCCGTAGGTTTCTGCTGTTTCCCCCCTTCTTCCCTCCCGCCCTTCATCCTGGACTCAGCCGTGTACCAGTCCAACCAGCAGGGTATCGTCACGGTCTCGGGCATGTACGCGTCGTGGGTTTCGGCGGTCGAGAAGACGGTGACCGTCCATCATGGGTCTGATGGCCCACGAGGGCCTGGTCGTGCTGTCGTCCCCACCTTCCAGGTCCAGGAGGTCAAAGCTCAGGAGAAAGCTCGTGTCACTCCTCTACGGGATGTTCTAGCTGGGTGGTGGACTAGGCTTCACACGGTACTTAGCTCTCTCGCCCGACATAGATCCAGGAACAACGGCCAGGATCAACAGCGTCGTCTGGAGCAGGCTGGCTTGCGTTTGCTTGAAGATCGCCCCGACCAAGTTCATACCGCTTTGCGGGAGGGCTTGGAGCCGCCGTGGTCTGAATGGATTCGCTTGCTGTCAGATATCCAGGGTTGCTCGATCCAGACGTTGTCAGATTTTGCTATGTTTTCGGATAAGGTCATGAAGCGAGCCCAACGTCGTGCCCTTGCTGAATCTATTCGGGAGTTCAAGGGATCTTCTCTTGGAGCTCTTCATCAACGTCGTGCCCTTGCTGAATCTATTCGGGAGTTCAGGGGCTGGGCTTTCGGAGGGATCTTCTCTTGGAGCTCTTCATCGGACCATGCGTCAAGATCCTGTCCCCGCTCTGGAGATCTTCGAGGGCTCGGAAGTGTTGTATCACCCGAAAGATATTGTCGACTGCAAGGCTCAGCGGTGGCATAAGAAGTGGGCTCCATCTATTCCTGACCCCCGTGAGGCTCTCGGGCATGTCCTGCAGGTCATTCGGGAGGCCGTTCGGAGGGACCCTGATCCGCTTCCCGAGCTCACCGTTGGAGACTTGAGGCGTGCGCTGCGTGCTATGAAATCCAGAGCAGGCATGGGGGTCGACCGCCTCACGCCATGTGACATGGAAAGGTTGCCAGACGAGGGTCTGGCCGAGCTTGCCGCCTTGTTGAACTCTGTCGAATATTTGCTGGCGTGGCCAGCCCAGACCATGCTCATCATTGGCCGTCTTCTTCCAAAGAAGGTCTCGGGTGATCGGGTGATCGGCCTCATCTCGATGGTGGGGCGGGTCTGGAGCATGAGTCGGGAACCCTGGGTCAGGTCGTGGTCGTCGCGTTCAGAACCCCATTGGGATGCCGCAGTCCAGGGGAACTCGGCGTTGGCCGAGGCGTTCAGGCGAGTACTCGACGAAGAGATTGCGGGGGTTTTGAATATCTCTTACGGGCATTCCTTGGTGGACATTGACGGGTACTACGACAATATGTTGTGGCTCAAACTCGCCAATGCAGCCCTTCGTCTAGAGTTTCCAGCTACGGTGCTCTATCTTGAGAGATCGCAATGTGCTCACCCCCGCACACTCCATCAGATTGATTCATATTCGCTGGCCTTCGAGCCGACATGCAGTATCGCGCAGGGGCTTCGTTCGGGCACCCGCTTCGCCCGCGCGATGACCTACTTCATCATGGACAAGATTTGTACAGCGAATGTTCGATGTTCCCATCGTCTTTGGATAGACGACATTTCTCAAGCTACGCGGGGTTCCCAGCAGCAAGTCAAGAGGGACCTAGTCAAGTGCGTCATGGACACGGCCAAGGGCTTGAAGCGGCAGGGCCTCAGACTGGCTGGGAAATCAGTTATCGTTTGTTCTAAGCTGTCGGTGGCTAAGGATGTTGTTCGTGCCCTTCGCCTTCGGGGTGTTTTTGTCACCGCTGCTCGCTCTACCTCATACCTGGGCGTCGACCTGGGCGGAGGGCGTCGGCACGTC